CCCATCTCCCTCTCTCTCTATATCTCCTTCTCTGAAAACTATCTATCTTTCTATCAACCTGTCTTTATCAACGACCTTCCAGTACATTCGTTTGTCTCTAGTACGCATGACATTAGATAACACTAAAGAGATAGGTCATTTATTTGTTTGGAACACGATCGGAACCGATAAAAACGCTTCATTTACTTGTTGAATTGTAAAACTGCAACCTGAGTATCTTTATTATGGTAGTTCATGACCCTGTTAGTTCATATGATATGACAGGTATATTTTGTTATGGTTGATATGATGAAACACGTGCCAGAAAGTACTTTAGCTGTAATGTGTTTGTACTTAAAAGTACACTAATGCACATACTTTACGCACCCCCACCCCCCACACAAACAAGCGTCCTCTCCCCCATACTCATGCACTCTATTCAATGATCTATAGACTTGCAGACTGATCTTTGAGTTTGGCTTGATTCAAAAGTTTTACAAGGCATCCATGAAGCTAAATGAACACTTACGAATGAATGATTCTCGTATGAACAATATCGCAGCTGTTGGTTTTATTGGACAAGTAACACGCAATTCTCCGGCTTAGATATCGTAGACAGGCTTTTTATTTGGGAAAAAAAAGATTTGTCAAAACAAAAAAACAAAAAACAAAAAAAAACATCAACAACCACAAAATGAATATGGAATCCGTCAGTGGTACAGCATTTGTTCAAACTCTACAGGAACTTACAAAACTAAAAAAAAAGAAAAAAAAGAAATAGCGTTCTTGACATTCTCACCTTTGGTCAGGGCATAGGCAACTATCAAACACTTTCCACTTGTTGCTATCCTTGGCTAGCTTGGGGACAGTTTGAAACTCACGGGCGTAATGGCTATATCCCCTGACAGTTATTGCATTTAGAAAACCGTAGATTAAGTCACGTGTCGGGGGACGGTTCTTATTGAGTAGCTCATATTTCTGCTGTGATGAAGTAATTAATCTCAAGTTGGTCCTGATAGGCAAAATAGAAGTCCGCCCCAGAAGTGATGGAAATGGCGTCAATGGGTTCTTTTAAAAACAAAACAAGCATTTAAAAGCTATTGCAGAGTAATGCTACAAATAATAGCTCGCCTGTCAATATCGGACGACGACCAATGCATCAGCAGAGGAGAATTTTTCTCCAGCGAAAACAAAATAATTTAAAGAATTAAAGATTAAAGTTTACGATGACATGTGACTTCTGTTAAAGCCGATGAGACCAAATCTGGTGGAGAAATATTGGCCTCATTTTGATTATCTAATTGCTACACTTCCGCCTGTGGATGTGCGCAGCTTGCGGGCTTCTGTCTTGGCTTCATCTTTTCTCTTTCGTGAAGCCTTATAATTATAATTTGTTTCCCCACTGTGACTGCTGCTCTCCCGCCGGGTCTGTCAGTAGCAAGGCTCCCCACCACTGCAGAAGAAGGTGGTATTGCAACATATCGTCCGACGACTCTGTGACCATGATGCAGGGCTGTACTGACCGAATATTTGTCCCATCGTTATATGAACAGCTTATAAATGATGTCGTTAATTTTCTTACAGCATAGCAGATATTGGAATTAATTTTTTAACATTCCTCACCAACGTCAGTGGTTTAGCGGTTAGGCACTCTCGCCATCGCTCGCAGAAGACTCCAGTTCATTCCTTGGGTGGAGTTATCTGTGAGACTTTGTTGATACGCTGTAAACCTCTCAACACGGGTTGGCCCTGACAGACAGACGAAACTCGCCTCCAAAATTCTCGAAATTGTCTCAATATGGGCTGAAAAAACCACTGACTTACATTTACAAAAAAGTATGTAAGATTTAAATAGGCATTGATATAGATCTAGCCAGGTACCGTGTATAAATCACTAGTTGATCAGCAGAATCTGGCCTCTAATCCACTTTGCCTTCTATATATCGGCGACCTTTTTCCGCCCAACTGGGTGTTAATCGACGTGATGACCTAAAAAAAAAGCCATTTGTAAAATTAACAAAAATGATAATGAATTACATTAATTGTTGTTTAATCCCAAAAGGCAATTTGGATTATAATAGTAAAAACACATTCGTACATTAATAAATTATTAAAAATATACACATATAAATGCATCCACAAATACATAATAGTATCAACGCATAAACACAACAAGCTCACAAATATTCCATGGAAGCAAAGAACGCCAGGATACAGAGGTAATGAAGACGGACAAATGTACTAACAATGGCAGTGACAATGACAATCTTTATTCAACTCAGACGGACAAAGTTGTCTTCGTTCTTTACAATGTCACTAGATGTTACAAAAGTTGGGTCACTTAGACATACACACAACAATACAAGATATTAAAGAAACCGATGTGCGTGCTAAGACAACCTTGCTCCGTAAAATAGTCTCTCTCTCTTGCTCTTTCTCTCTCTCTCTCTCTCTCTCTCTCTCTCTCTCT